GGGTCCCTTCCCACCCAAACCATTCCATGAATCCCTGATGAATGTCACTGCCCTGCCTGCTCCTGCTGGGGCAGGACAGTGCACAGAGGGTGAGAGCCCCTCCAACCAGCAGCCACACCCGACTTTAGGCTCATCCAGCCCCCACTGTCCCCGAGCAGCCTGAGAGAAGCCACCAGCCCCATGCCCATGCCCTTGCCCGGATGGATCTGTCATTCCAGGGTGTTTTCTCTCGTGGCAGAGGGAACCTGAGGACGGAGTGCTGCAGGATTTTGGAGCAGAGGAGAGGGGCTCACTCCGTGCTCGCCTGCCTGCAGCTCACCCAGGGGAAGACACACGTGCTGTAAGTGAGCTTTGCAGCCTCTGGCCTCTGCCTGCTGAGGCATGGGGCTCTCAAAGGTGCCTGGATAGTCAGGAATAAGGAAAAAGCAGGAATAAGCTGATTTTTTGGAGGTAGGAGGCTTTTTTGCTGCCTGGGGAATGAGCCACTCTGGCTGTTTCTCCCTCTTTGCTTCAGTTTTTGATGATTTCACAGGAGGCCAGAGTTAGTCCTGACTGGCTCCTGCTCTGGGGTTTTCTGACTGCTGCGGCCCTCGAGCAGGGGGGAGCCAGGGCTGCTGCCAGCTCCAGGGAAAGGAAAATGGAGACAATTGGGATAAAATAAAGAGCAGGATGGTACCAGCTCCAGGACCCCATGGGGGTCTGGCCCCTATCACCAACCCCAGCCCTGGAGAGCTGGGCTGCATTCCCAGAGATCCAACATCCCACCAGCCATGGGGAGAGGTCCCATTTCCTTCCAGGAATCCCCACTTTCTATTTCTATTTCTATTTCTATTTCTATTTCTATTTCTATTTCTATTTCTATTTCTATTTCTATTTCTATTTCTATTTCTTATTTCTATATATTTTTATTTTTATTTTTATTTGTTTATGGAGAAACCCTGGGCTGCCCTCAACTTTCCCCTTCCCCACACCCTCCTTCCCACCCAGCTGCCCTGGGCCAAGCTGAACCCATTTTATCTCCAGCAACCCACAGAAATTTTGCTTTTCTGCTGCTTTTTTTCTTGTTGCTGTTGTAGTGGAAAATTCTTTGCCGCTGGGTTGCTGTTCTTTCATTCTGTGCCATTTAGCAAAGTCTCTTAATTTCCATTTCATCTAAAAAAAAAAAAAAATTAAAAAAAAAACCCAAAAAAAAACCAGGGACACATGGCTTGCCATTGAGTGCAGCCTTGGGGCTGGAGTGCCAGGAGCAGCGGTGCTGCAGCTGCCTGCTCTGGCTCTCCCATCCCTTCCAGCTCTGCATCAGGAAGATTTCTGCTGACTTGGCCCCTGTGCCACGCTCACCCAGACTCCCGTGCCAGCTGCGGGCACACAGACAGATCCCGGCTGGCCTGGAGCCGGCGGGTGTAAAACCCACAATTTTGGGACAAATCGGACGCAACGGGGCGAGGTTTTAGCAGATCAGCGCTTTGCATCTCCTGGCTTAGATCTGGCACTCTGAAATCTGGGCTGCAGCCCCCCAGGACCCCAGCACAATGTGGATTCCTGAGCACCAGTGACAGCTGGATTGTTTCCTCCTTCAGGAATATTCATTTTCTGCCTTCCCTCAAATCCTCCTCCAGGAATATTCATTCTCTGCCTTCCCTCAGGTACGAGGCCGGCAGGGGCCCAGCAGGGCTGGATGTGGTGAAGATGAGGCTGCAGAGGGTGAGGAGCATCCCCAGCCCAGGAGCCCCCAGGGCTCGCAGAGCAGCTGGTCCCAGCCTGTCCCCTCCTCTGCAGGTGGATGAGGAGCTCTCCCAGTGCTCCCACGGCATCTTCGACTTCCAGGGGGCCCTGGATGGGATTTTGGCCGAGCTGCTGAAGGACAGGCAGCAAATGCACGAAGACAAAAGGTGTGTGGTGCAACCCCTGGTGCCCCTTGGCTGTCCCCAGGCAGGGGATGGAGCAGGTCCCCTGCCAGGCACAGCCACCCACGGGGTGATGTCCCTGCAGCAGGGTCACATTCCAGCCCTGAGTGATAACTTCACTCCAAAATGATGATTCCACCCCAGCCTCAGCCCTCCCTCCCTCCCGAGGGGCCTCACGCCCCCTTCCCTGTCCATTGCAGCATCCAGCAGATGGAATGCTGCCTGGAGAAGATGCAGGTGATCTACAGGCAGTTCAAGAAGGCCAGGACGTGTCTGAGTGAGTGCTGGGCTGGGGGCACGGGGCAGGGATGTCCCTGCACTGTCCCCGTGGGGAAATGGATGGTTTTGGGGCACCAGCAGCTGCCTGATGGAACCCTCAAACCACAGAACGGTTTGGGCTGAGAGGACCTTGCAGAGCTTCTGTTTCTGTGTCCTGAGCCAGGAAAATCCCCTTGAGCCACCCCTGTGCCTCGTGGCATTGCCTATTCCTGGGGCTGTCAGCAGGAAATGTGTGGTGACCGTGTTTTTCCTCCCCAGGGCTGAGCTACAACGAGGAACAAATCCACAAGCTGGATAAGTGAGTCCCAGCCCTGTCCCCTCCCCAGGAGCTGCCCCTTGTGGGGCTCTCCAGTGCTGGGTGGCTCTGGCTGGGTCCCACAGGGTCAAAATTGTCCCTGGAGCTGTGGGAGGCAGCTGGAGGTGGTTCCTGTGCTGGCTCTTCCTTCGGGAGCTCTTCCAGGGAAGGTTTCAAGCCCTGAAGCCCTGGAGGTGAAGCTGTGGGAGCAGCTGTACAAGGAGGGGACAGGGAGCTGCTCTGGGGACATCCCTGTGCCGGAGGAGGGGACAGCCCCGTGGCAGGCTGCTGCTCACCAGGACTTGCCCTGAAGCCTTTTTTTCCCACGGAGATGCTGATTTTGGAAGTGTCCCTGCTTCCCTGTCTGCTTCACTTCCCGTGGCAGCGAAGCGCCTGATGGATTTTGTACCTTTAAGAATCCTCCTTTGGGTTTTTTACCGAAACCAGGGGAATTTAGGCAAGGAAGAAATACAATTCTCACCTCGGCGTGCAGCAGGGAGGTGGAATCCCACAAACTCCTTTGTCCCACTTCATGCTCAGTCTAACCTCGAGCATTTACCTCAAATTCCGAGGCAGAGACTCCTCAGCAGGGCCCTGAATCCCCCAAAACCTCCCTCTCCATCGCAGCCAGGCTTGGTCTCCCCTGTCACTCCTTTCTCAGCACCCAGCCCCTCTTTCTCCACGCTGTAGGAGCTTTCGGCCTCCTGTGATGTTCCTTTTTACATCTTGGAGGAAATAATGGTGTTTTTTCTCTCTTTTATTCCTGGGTTTAGGCTGAATTTGGGGAGCCTGGCCAGGAGGGTTCTGTCCATTTTCCAGAACGAATGTGTGCAGCAGTACCAGGAGGCCCTGGCCCTGCACAGCAGCAGGATGAGGTACCAGCCCCACCCAGGGATTTGGGATTTTGTAGGAACCCGCCAAGGATCTGCTTGGAAATGGGGATTTTGGGAAATGCTGAGGGACTGCACAGGGGTGAAAAACCCTCAAAAAGCTCTGTGAAGTCCCACTGTGTGGGCTGGCTCCTGTCCCGTAGTTCTGCCCTGCTATTTGAAGTTTATATTTTAAAAAGCTCATATTTAAAAATATTATATTTTAATACAATAGAATTTTAATGTTAAATAATATAATATAATATAATATAATATAACATAACATAACATAACATAATATAATATAATATAATATAATATAATATAATATAATTTTAATATTAAATATTTAAACAATTTATAATTATAATAACGTATCATTTAATATGTAGTATTTTAATATTAACATTTATACACATTTTCATATAAAATATAATATTTTATTAAATTATACAAATATTCTATTTTTAAAAGTTTATCTTTAAGTTTTTCTATTTTAAAAAGCCTAACCCTAAACTTGCAGCTGGAGTTCAAGCTGCTCTGGCGTGGGGGGGAGAGGTTATTTCAGCAGGACAGAATCGCTATTGAGACAGAGAGATCCACTCCCTGGGAATGATTTTCTGCTAAATGGTGCTTGGGGAATAATGCAAAAAGCAAATTACCCCGCGGTAATTGAGAGCAATCCCCAGCCTGGGGCAGCAGGGAGGGGGCGGCAGGTGGGGAGAGGATGTTGGAAAAATTGGATTTTCATGGCAAGGTTGCTCTGGAGAGGAGCAGCCTCCCCTGGGCTGCCGGGGTGGGTGGAGGGAGGAGGAGTTTCTGGAATACTTTACAATTAAACCCATTTTTGACCCCATCCCATTTCTGGTGGGGAGCAGATTTACAAGCAGAGGGATTTTTAGGCTGCGAGTTGGATTTGGATGTTCAGAATTTCTCCAGGAGCTGTGGGCAGGGGCTGCCCTGTCCCTATGCTCTCCCAGCCTCCTCCTGGCCTTTTCCCTGCACTATCCCAGTTTTTTTCCCTGTTTTTTTCCCAGTTCTTTTTCCCCAGTTCTTTTTCCCAGTTCTTTTTCCCAGGTTTTTTCCACAGTTTTTTTCCCCCAGTTTTTTTTCCCCAGTTCTTTTTCCCCAGTTTTTTTTCCCCAGTTTTTTCCCATTTTTTTTTCCCAGTTCTTTTTCCCAGTTTTTTTCCCCCAGTTCTTTTTCCCAGTTCTTTTTCCCAGTTCTTTTTCCCCATTTTTTTCCCCAGTTTTTTTTCCCCAGTTTTTTTCCCCAGTTTTTTTCCCCAGTTCTTTTTCCCAGTTTTTCCCCAGTTTTTTTCCCCAGTTTTTTTCCCAATCTTTCCTCATCCTTTTCCCATTCCCAGTCCCAGCTTGTCCCAGCAGGGCTTTCTGTGCTGCCAACCCTCACTAAAGGCAGGTTTCACTCTGGGACAGGAGCTGTGTCCCAGTCTCCTCATCACACCACAGGCAATTAAATTTCTCAGATTTGTCAGAATCTGAGGTATTGATGATTCTGAGATTGTAAAAGTCTCTGTCTGTCAGCCCCCTGCCAAAGCAGAAGCCATCATTGGTCTGTGCTGGTTTCCAGGTTGTTTATTCTGTTGATCTCTCACATGTTCTGCTGCCCTGCCCAGCTCTGTCCTGCAGGGCAGCGTGTGGGGCTCTGCCCTCAGTGGGATGTGACAAACATT